ACTGCATTCCTTGCACATGTAACACTCAGCAAGAGATTTTGGGTGTGCAAGCAAAGCAGGTCAGGGCTCTCATTTTGTGGCTTTAAAAAAATACGTCTTTCCCACATCCAAATCATATTGTCCCTTCCTTCACTTACCTTCCGTTAATTTATCCTTCAATTTAGGTTCACTCATATGGCAAAAATACATATAATTTTTTTACATATGAAATTATAAAGTATGAAGGTCTTATTTTCACCAGAAAAGTCAAATTGCCATCAGGATAACAGGAAAACATGGTGATGGCATTAAAATTCATAAGTGAAAAAATGTCATCACTCCTGCTTCCCCACACTATGCCAAAAACTTCTTGTGTGTCCCCCATGAGGAAGAGGCAGCTAAGCATTTACAACAGCAAAATAGAGTAGCAGTAGTTCCCCACCTTGGGATCACTCTGAAAATTCACAGCTAAGTTCTTTGACAGTTTGCCAAAAGCCTTAAATAAAGGAAATAAATACAGTTATATTCAGGCTTTACATTCATAACACCTTTGAGTCAAGAGGTATGCCAGCTTCAGAGGTTCTCATCCTCAGCTGCTCATTCCAGCACTGTAGATCCAGCACAGACCCAATAGTTTGTGATCCTTCCCTACACACCAGATCACCGACACCGTCAGAATCTGGCTTGCAATTCCTTGGGGTTCTTTCCTAGGAAAAGAATGTATTAAGTCTTCCCTGTCCATAGGTCCACCCCTGGAGGTAGCAAGGGAAGAAGCCTTGCAGGCAGCCTTTTGAAGAAGATGGTTCAACCCCAAGGGAGGGGTCTCCTATTCACCAAAATCATCCCTTTTGCCATGGTGTAGTCAAGGTGAAAACACAACACATGTTGCTAACAAAGCACTCTGCAGTCACTGTGTAGCAAACATTGAATAAATTTCCTCAAAACCAGAAAGGCATAAAGATTTATTATTATTATTATTATTATTATTATTATTATTATTATTATTGTACCTATATAAATAAATATAGGCAAACTCTGGTGGGATTTCTGTTCTTAAGGATTTCTGTTCTTAGCGTTTTGGGAGAAGGCTCTTTTCCTGGATATAATGCAAAGGGATAATTATAACTTTTAGGCTTGCACATGTATTCAACAGGTTTTGGGGTATAAACTCCAAATCACCAAGGTAAGCATGCATCTTTGTCTGGACAAGGATTAGAAAACAAATGCAAACACCAATATTCAGACATCATTTAGAAGACAGAGGAGAAGCAACTTTCAGCTTTCAACTGCATAGGTACTTCTATGCTATACGAAGTTTCCTGGCCTTTCTCCTGCTCCACTGTTCCATTTTGTTGTGCCTTAAATTTTGTCCTGAGGGATATAATCTCAGTCTGTAGACATCTATTCTATCCTGAATAAAAAAGTAAAAGAAGTCTGATTCCTTTTTTGATTTTAAATTTGAATTGTCAAGCTTTGGGTAGTTTCAATACAAATCAGAATATTGTAGCACAGGTTTGTGTATTTAAAATTGTCATATATTTTACAGAGATAAGTCACATTAAAGTTCGCATTAGTTGCTTACAATCTAACATACTGCAGACATAATTGTTACCTTTGTATAACAGGCTCTAATCAAATCAGGACAAGTGGCAATCCCAGAAAAACAGAGTAATTTGACTAAACTTCAATGTCTAGGTTTAGTCAAGGCTCACCAGGTCTCCAAAGTAGGAAAGCATAAAGTACAAATGGAATGAAACCCTAGGGGTGTAAAATACAAACCAAAAACTGGTTAGGGTTTTGTTCATTTATGCTCCACAGTGTTTAACCCCAGAGAACCAATAAATGCAGATGGAGCACAAAAAATATGAACTCACCTTAATGTTGCAATTTTTTTTATAACTTCCATTAATCCAAATGTTTGCTCCACAAGTCACATGTAAGAAAGAGTTTTCATGGTTTATATTCCCAGGATCCCATTATAGTAAAGCCCAAAACCAGTTCACTCAAGTATTAGTAAAACCAAAAGGGAAAAAAGAAGGCCAGATTCTCAGCTGATAATAAATCACTTTATGCCAAGAAAAAAAAAAAAAAAATTGACTTCTGCTTTGCAGCATTACTTATTAAAACAAGACTACAGAAATAAATATGGTAAATAGAACACTAAACAGAAAAATAAATTCTGGCAATCTAAATGCAGATGGCTCAATGAAGATAGCCCATCAGATTGCTGAATCTGCCTCTATACAGTAGAAAACTTCTGCATACGACCCTTACTACACATTGCTTCCCTAGCTTTCCCTTGCAATAGAATTCTGTAATCTAAGCCAGCTTGTGTCAGGGAGATTTATTTGATATATGCTCCTTTTGTATAATTATTCAATTATTACTCCTATAATGCATAGCATTGTCTGGAATAAGTCTGCACTACCGTGGTGACCCTCCAAAGTAACTTACGTTTCTTCATATATCCCCTCCTCAACCTACCTCCCTTGTGAGATCTGAGAGGAATATTATTATTTATTCTACAGACAGAAATTTAGAAAGAAAGAAGTCCAACATATCATAGAAAATCAGTAAGACAGCAAGAAACTGAACTCATGTTGTAAAACCTAGATAGTATATCAGTGCTATGAACAATACAACACATTTGAGTCCCATTCAGTTTTCTGAGAATGGGTTTACCCAAGATACAAGGTTGTAAATTGCAGTTGAGGAGATACAGACAAAAACAAAATAAACAAATTTTTAAAAAAAAAATATTTTTGGTGTCTTTTTTAGGCAAGTGTTAACAAACAAAACCACAACCAACACTTTCAAAGCCCCTTTGTTAGTACTGAACCTGCTGGAACATAGTACATATTCAGGTCCCTCACTTTGTCATGTTCCTACTGCACCAACAGAAAGAGAAAATAATGAAAGCAGTTACGTGGCATTTGCATTCTGGCATGTAGAAATTCTCCTAAAATAAAAATCCAGACAGACACCTAGAGATGGAATACGCCAACCAAACAGCACAAGTAAACAAGCAATATTCTTGCTACTTTGCCAATGTAAGGCTCTTCCATACTGCATAGGATCTGATTTTGTAGTACAAGAAAGGTAGAACGAACCCCTTAGGTTTTCAACAACCAACAGTGAGAAAAAGAATGAGACAGCTACTCCTACTGTCTAATGGTGCAAATACCATTTTTAGTAAGTAAGGTAAAGCTTTTGGGTCAAGATTAAAATTGCTTTTCAATTAGATTTTAAAGTGGTATTGTTAACTCCTATAGGTCTACACCTATATGTAGTAATAACAATAGCTATCTGTGACTATGAGATCAAGCTTATGGTAATCAAGAGTTTAAAGGAAACTCAAAAATTAACACAGACTAGGTACAATGGGATTTTAAAGAATTGGTGGTGGCTTCATCACAATTCCATGCGCAGAAAGAGTGGAATAAAAAGATTTGATTCTTACATCACATCCCATGCTTCCACTAACAAAAAGTTCTAAAAAGTCCACAACTTGGCATGTTCAAAGATCTCAAGCACCTTGCTCCCATTGGAGAAGTCTAAATATCTCTAAATATATAGACTGCAGTTTTAAGTAACTACTATTGATGAAATATCAAAAACATTTCTAAAGCCCACTTCTTACAAACCCAGATTCAGTTTAACTCTCACATTCCACTCTGCAGGCTAAAATCCTTAATAGTGACTTCCAAAATTACCATCACATACAAAAAAGTGCAAAACAAAACAAAACACTACCAAGCTCCCAGTGTGGCAGTAAGGACATTTACACACAGGAAGTATGTAAGCACTTGCAAAATCCTGGGCAATATTATCCTTAGACCTGGCTTTTATTTGCAAATTAAGTATGCACTTTAAAACCTAACAATGACTAAATACAGAGACAATGACATTAAAAATCCACTCAGTGAGACTTCCTGCATATAACATAACAAAACACTTCTTTTCAAAACTAATTTTCAATAATTTTAAAACTAATTTTTAGTGCTGTTTGGTTGTAACTCAATACAATTTACAGAGATCAAATATGCATCCCCATCTCCCAAACGCAATAGCTTCATAGAGTCAAACTGTTATATGTATCCAAAAAGAAGAATCCATTTGCTTTTACCTTTCCTCCTCTGCTGCACTAAGGAACAAGAGGCTAAAATTCTTCTCTTAAAGAGAGCAAGTAGCTATGAAGCTCTTAGCCCCCTAAAGGACTGGTTCGTACAAAACCACACTGAATTTCTTCCACAGCAGCTGTTCCTACATCTTGGTACAGCGAGAGATTGCACACAGAGAGATACCACATCTACACGGAAACATGGGTACATTGAGAAATGTTGTCTGAGCAGACAAGTACTAAGACTGGCTCTATCACACTAACACCTGCAATACTCGCCATGTCACAACACCGATAAAAGCCTGAATATATCAGGAAAGGGAGGAAAAAGCATAAGGACAAGCAACACAGCAGTTGACCCTTTCTAATGTCACTGGAAGCAATGGAGGGCACATTTGTTCAAAACAATTTCTTGTCTAAACTAGATGAGCTTGAAAAGATACAGGTGAGATTAAAGCATTGGCCATAATTAATTAAATCAGCTCAGTACCACTTAACTTCTGAATGAAAGGCGCAGCATGAAGTTTTCCAGCCAGAGATTATCTGCATTGGCTTTACACCTTCAGGTCATTTGTATTAAATTTATGAACAGTCTTTGTAGGCAAGCAGAGAGAAGGGTCTTTCTAAACACCATGGGGCAACCGCTGTGTTTCTGTTTTGAAGTGATGAGCTCTGAGCTGGGCAGTCACAGAAGAACAAGCAAAAGGAAAATGAACATGTCTTTAGAGGTGGAATAGACGTCTCTTCTACGAGGCCCTCGTAGAGGAAATAGTAAAATGAGACCGGGCTTCACTGTTTTCTTAATTGCAAAGGTGCTGCCTCAAAGGGGAGAAAATTTCCATTAGGAACTTCCTCTGAAACACCCGCAAAAGCAGCACAAGAGGGCTCGTACTCCCCTTACACGTAATTCATCTGATAATGGCTGAAATTTGTTAACAGCAACTTTAAACCGCTGTGGAGAGACGGCTTTTCTAAACGGGGGTCCAAGACGAGCGCTTTGAAAACTCAACAGGGCGCAACTGCAGCGGGACGGGGGAAGGTGCGGGGAGACTGGACAGAGTAACAAGCGTGAGGCCGGGCTCGCTTCGCCTGAAAGTGTTTACCAAGGGCATCGCCGCCTGCGCGGGCTGGGGGAGCCTTTGCGCTCCCGGAGGGAGAAGCGCTCGGGAGCGGGGCCTGGAGAATGGGCGGGCCGGGACCAGAGCGCCGGGAGGAGTAGCAGGGTTCGCTCCCGGCCGCCTCGGCCTCGTACCCAAGTCAGGCTGCCCCAGGCGCCGCCGTCGGGCTGGGGCGAGCCTGGCCCGGGCCTCCGCCGCTTCCCTTCGCCTAAGAGATCCGCCATCGCTCCCCGGCCTGCAGCGAGGGAGGCCCGCCCGCCAGCGCTGCCCTCCGCAGGCTTTCACATCGTGCGATAAACTTGCACACTGCTTTCACACTGCACCGCTAAACAAGTCACTGCGCCGGCAATGCCGGCCCTGGTCCCCGGGGAGACGGGCACCATCGTTCCCTGCTCCTTTCTCCCTCTCCTTCCTCTCCCTCTCCCCATGGCGCAGGATGAACAAACGCGCCGCCATCTACCTGTGCAACACCTCCGCAAACACATTTTATTTACACGGAATCAACTCGGGGCATTGTACATTATATACAGATATTTTCCCCCTCCAACAAGGCAGAGCTTGTGCAAGATTAGTAGCATCCTCTGGAGCATATCCGACAGTTCACGGGAAATGTCCCCCCTACTGAGAGGCATCAGCTGTCGGAGTCCAAGTCACTTTTCCCGTCCTCTTGTCTCTTCTCCGGTGACGTTTTAGACGCTTTATTCCACTTTTGTGCGTTTTCTGACTCCTCTGAGGACGATCGCTTTTGCCTCCTCCACTTCGCCCGGCGGTTTTTGAACCACACCTAATAAGTTAAGAAATTAAATTTTTAGCGGGAAAAAAAATAAAAACAAAACTGTCCAAACCCGCAGCCTGACTTCAGCCCTGCAGGAGCCCTGCCGGGGCCGGTGTGCGGCGGCTGCCCTCGGACGGGAGGGCGGGAGGCGGGGGAAGCTGCCGCTCGGGTGGGACCGGCCGAGCGCCTTCAGGAGGCACGGCCGCCTCTCGACAATCTCTCACAGCCCCGTGACAAGCTCGGCCGGCCTCCCCAAGGAAGGGCACTAGGACATAATAATAAAAAAACTTTCCGTCAGCCCCCGCAAAGCAATCTCTCTCCCTCCGCTGCCCGAGCCGGGCTGGAGCCGCACTGCGGTACCTCGAGCGCGTTTGAGTGCGAAAGGGAGAGGGTGGAAGAAGGAAAAAAAAAGCAAAGTACCTCCACTTTTTCTTCCCTTAAGTGCACCCTTCTGGCCAGCTGTTCCCTGGTGCCCACGTCTGGGTATTTCGTTTCCTGGAATAGGTTTTCCAGCGCTTCCAGCTGCTCGTCAGTGAAGATAGTCCTGTGCCGTCTTTTCCGCCTACAGTGCAGCTGGTTCAGTAACTGCAGCTCCGTCCGGGACAAAGTGCCCACGTTCATATAGGGCAACATCTGATGGGGAACAGGGGACATCAGGACTGACCCAGTGCCCTCGTAACCTACGGACAGACAGACGAGTCGACGACAGGCTTTGCATGAGATCGCTCTTCCCCACATCACCCGTCCCGACAAAAGCCCCCTCCCGCCGCCCACCCGCGCTCCCGCGGGCAGCCTCCTCCTCCGGCCCCGCGGCTGCCGGAACAAAGGAATCCCGTCTGCCCCGTCCCACGCGGGGCTGCCTTACCTGCAGGGGGGACGCAGGAGCACTGCTGGGCGCCCAGGGGCGGCACTGCCCCGCAGCACGAAGGGCCCACGGGGGACGCCGGCACATGCAGCTGCCCGTAGTAGTAGTTATTGTAGCTCAGCCGAGATCCAGTGACGGCCGGCGGCAGCGCGGAGGCGGGAGTCACCGCCCGGGAGTAAAATCCGCCGTAGTCGGAGGCGCTGCCATAGAGCGAGTCCCCGTGGAGGCTGGGGAAGACGACGGGCGCGGCGCTCGGGGGCAGCAGCACCGAGTCCTTGCAGCGAGGTCTGGCCGCCAGGATATTGTCGATGCTGAACATGCTCACAGGCATGCCCCAAACCGTGCGGGGCAGGGCGGCGGGGACCGGCCGGGGGAGGGAAGGAGGAGGGAGGGAGGGAGGGAGGGTAGGTGGTGGTTGGGGAGGGGGGGGGAGAGGCTGGAAAGACACGAAATCGAAACTTTTCGGAGAAATTTTAAAAAGGGATCGGAGCGAAAAGAACAGAGCCTTTTCCGAGGGCAGTTTGCGGGCAGAGTGTGCGTGTGTGTCTGTGCGCGCGTGTGTGCGTGTGCGGTGTGTGTGTGCGTGTGCGCAGGATCCACCCCTGGAACTTTCCCCCCTCAACTCTCGCCTGTTTACTGATCTCAACCCAGAGGGCTGCTCGGAGTATAATCCATCTGAACCTCTTCCCTTTTTTATACCCGGGCGACGTCATCCTGGATTTAGTTCCTGGTAATATGCAGATGACAAACAAAACCAGATTTGATTTTTTTTTTCTCCCCTTTTTTGGTGGGGAAGAGGTGGGGGTTACACAAAGGAGTGAAAGCAGCCCGAGTCTGTGTATTCAGAATTAATGAAATTAACGTAATCCTTTCCATTAGTGGGCTTTTTTGAAAGGCCCCAGATTTAGGCTTGATCTCTGCTGCACCGGCTAATTGCCCAGGTTAATCTTATTAATGCCATTGTGCAGAAGTGGTTAGCAGCTCCTAGTCTTGTCTATTATGCACCTACTTTGGTCATGTTAGTTCACATTAGTGGGTGCGATTTCCTCTGTCTGAAGCTCAGATTCATTATTTATGCTTCGAATTGGTTAAGAAGCACTTAAAAAAAATAAACTGCGATATAACCATGCAACGCCCTCCCTCCCGACAACAAGTGTTTCTGTAGCAGGGTTTGAATCTTGCGTCCCCCAGCTCGGAGAACTGAAAGGGTATTTAAACTTTATGCAGTGAAGCAACAACGTCTTCACTGAGTAAGTAAACTTTTTTTTTATTATTATTTTCCTAGATCACCTGGCGGAATAAGGACGTGTGAATGCTGTAAACTTCTGTACCTTTTTTATTATTATTATTTTTATTTTTTTTAATAGACGCAGATTCTAGCATGGATCACTTTTTATTTTCATAACAAGCCAGGAGACGGAAATGTTAAAGACCAGTGCCACCTCAAATCCCCGGGTGTGGTAGGTGTTCCAATTTGCTTCTGATCTACCTTGTTGCCATTTTCCTTTCTTTTTAATCTTCTATTTTCTATCTTAGAAAATAAAGCCCATAAAGTTACAATGATACAGAGAACTTTATATTTTGCGTGTTGTGTGAATTTTAAAATGGAGCAATTTTAAATCCCTAAAACTCTTCCTATTAAGTGGTTTGGCTCTCCTGGTAGCTGGCTCTTGTGATTTGCAGAATACTTCGTCTGTCACGACTGTCACTGGGAATCCACAGGAGGTGAACTGAATAAGATTAGACTATTTACCCCATCAACTCTCCATCAAAGAAGGTAGGAAATTGTACGCATGAAATGAAAACAAGCCATTAGGGTCCTTTTACGAGGAACACATTATGTTTCCTCAACAAAGAATATCCTCGTTAGCGCTTACTCGCACTTTATCTTTTCTTTCCTCGATATTCCAGGATTTAAAACTGCACCTGAGGATGATCTAAACCAAGAGCCTATTTCTAACAAAAGACTCATATAAAAGCTAAAGAAAAGGAATACCAGGAATAAAATCTCGCTTTATTGATACATCGCGATGTGACTAATGATTAATACCGTTTCCTTTACTTCAGTTTATCTGTTGATCAGTTTCGTTCCTCATTTGTCATTTAGACTTGAGCTTCGTGCAAGTTTTTCAAATTTGATGGAAAGTGAAACTATTTGACAGAGAGTTTGGGGGTTTTGTTAGATCTGGGATTTTTTTTCTGTTGTTGTTTTTGAGAGGTTTCTTTTTGGTTGGTTTGTTTATTTTTAATGTTTTTGGGGGAATTTCAGGCTGGTTTGTTGGGGGTTTTTGGTCAGTAATTCCCCGGGTGCAGCTGGTCACGCTACATGCAGAGCAGCGCCTGCTTAATGCCGCCATTGGGATGCTCGTCCACGTCCTGGGCGGCTCTGCAGCAATGCGCGGTATCATCCCTCCGGTGGCCTGCGCACCCGCGGCGGTGAGCGGGGCTCCGGGCCAACCGGGCTCGGGGTCCCCGAGGGAGCCAGGCCGCAGGGGATGCCGAGAGCGGGGCACGGCCCGCTTCCGCACCGGCCCGGAGTGGAACATCCCCGCGGGTGCTCCGGAGGTCTCTGCAGTGGCGGCTCTGCGGTACGGGCAGAGATCGGGCCAGGCGGGGACAGCTCTCTGCCCCGGGACTGCTGCCCCTCGGGGAGCCAGCCGGATGACCGCGCTGAGCCCCGCTCGTGCGGGGGCTCGCAGGTGGGGACACCCTCCGTGGGGACACCCGCCACCGGGGCCGACTTCTTGGGCGCTTAGCATCACTTGCATCCCGGTTTCATCTCCGCGCCTGTCCGGCCTCTCCGAGGAGAAAGCAGCACCGCGGGACACGAGTGGGCACCAGAAGAGGCGCGGTGCTGGCGGAGCACACGCCGCTCGGGCTGTGCGAAAGCTCTGCTTCGCAACGAGTTTTTCGCTTGCGAAGGCTCCCCTGAAGGATGATCCGTCTCGCTGCAACGCTTACCTTTATTCCCAATTTAGATATGATATTTCCCAAATAACTTGTCATCCCCGTGGGGAAGTTCTCTTTTGTTTTGTTTGTTTTAATCCGAGTCGTTTTGCCCCGAAATCCGCAGTTTTGATACCCGCTTCGCAAAACCTGTTCTCGGAGTTTCTCATTTCCTATGCGCTCTTCGCTAACCTAGCAAATGGAAAATTGTGTTAAACAAACAATCAGTTGTCACACAATGTCGGGTGAAATTGTAATAACAAATGAAACACTAGCAAATTGTGCTGCATAGTGTTGCTAAGCAATTGTTTGTTACGGGAGGGTGGTCACAGCATGGGTTGAAAGAGGGATCTAAAGAGGAGCATAGTACTGGGCAGAGCAAGCTGTTAGGTATGAAATAAAGTAAACACATTGCTGATTTTCGGTATTATTACCCAAACACGATTTCATACAAAGCAATCACCGTACACAAGTCTATGAAAATACTCTTGTGTAGAAATCGGACGGTTTTTTTATTTTAATGTATTAAGGAATAATTCCGGAGATGCAAAACGCATCTATCTCCTTCCCGACTCTGCCCGGCCTGGCGGCGGGAGCAGCACCGGGACTGCCGGCCGGGGCCGCCCGGGAGGGGTCTAGGGAGGAGAACCGCAGCCCACCCGCCCAGCCGAGGCTCCAGCCCCACGCGAGGGGGTAACACTGGGGTGACCCGGGGCTTTGGTGGGTGTCCGGCTGCGAGACCCTCTCGGAAACAAAGCTGCGCGGAACATCTCAGTTATAAATGTTATCACCCTTCAGCGTTCTCCACGTTTGTTTCAAAGAGATTGCATCATCGCTTCGCCAGAAAAGAAGAGAAAAAAAAAAAAAGAAGTATAAAAGTCATACAATGCGAAATTACGGTAATTTGTTCCCAGAATAAACTTATCTTGAACTGATTAGGAAAGTCAGTCATTTGAAAACGAGGCAGAAACGCGGCTGTTTTTTTTTTTTTTTCCCTAAAGCTTCCCTCTAAAAATATCAGCTTCTAAAGTTTTCATTCATATAAACTTTATTAATGAAGATCTTTTATTTAAATGTCAAGGGGATTTGAAATTTAGAGTAAATTATGAAGCATGTATGTCTTGCCAAGTCATGGGTCAAATGCATTTGTGAAAAACTGCTAAAAGAGCATATGGTTTTGAATTTTTCTACAATGACTAGTGTTTAAATAAATTGCTTGTACTGCTTAACTTCATGTGTAATTTTGACAGAAATTGGCCTATAGCCTTTTGATATGTAAACATTTCAGGCTTTTATGCGGTATAAAAAGACACTTGCTTTTCGGGATCAGCTAAAGCAGTCACCCTGTAATTCAGCAAACTGGCACCTAACGTTACATTCTTGCTGCATTTCAACTTTCAAGTGCCAGCATAAAGGGGGGAAAGAGAAGGGACTTTTCAAAAGCAGTGTCCACTTGGAATTAAAAACTGAGAATGAGGTGAGAATGTGTCACTCACTGTCTGATTGAAATGGATAAACCTTAGCACTAAAGAGAATTCTCTGTCCTATTTTCTAAAAAACAGCAGAGGAATCAGTGAAAACAGACTTCAACGTAGCACAGACCTGACTCGCATGTCAAATTAATGCCTTAGAACAAAATCTGTCTAACGTACAAATAGGTGTGATGAAGAAAACCCAGATATCCCTTCTAAATTCTGTCAGCTGTTTCTCTTCTACAGACTATCTTGGGCTGTAAAAATTGAAACGAACTTTTATATATGGAATATTGCATACATTGTACATAAATATCACACAACCTTTTGAATTGCAACTTAGATAGCTGCATGTTCACTTGCATTCACCGGTTCTTAATTTTTTTTACAGTTTTTGCACTAGTAAACATTCCACTGACTTCAATTAATGTTCTATTTTGGTTTTTGTGTGTGTGTGTGGTTGTGGTTTTTTCTTGTGAAGAGGAGACTAGAACTTGCAAAGGGTTTCAGGATACAATCCATAACAGTAGAGGAGTCACTCATTTTTAACTCTCCTTAAACTAAAATGGTTTTGTACATGTATAAATCTAGCAAGCTACTGAATAAATTCATTTATTACTAATATATCTGTCTCACATAAATAAACCTCCTAATGTTGATTAGATGGATAAGCCTAGCACAGTGCTAGACAGAACAGGACCTGGATAGTTGCCTGGTGCCAGACAGCTCAATATGTTTATTTCCTGTGTGCTTTAGAGGGGACTAAGCTGAAGTTGGAAAAAGGTTTAAATGAACTATATAATTTCAATCTGTTACTGTAGTAACATTTTTATTTATTGTATATGTCAGTTAGTCATACACAGAATTCTCAAGATACACTGCCCCTTTTGTTAGTGGTCAGAGGTGATTTTTTTCA